TTTACCATCTCTAGTTTTTATACACGCACTGATGAGTGTATTTATAAAGTTCTGTACATATTCAACCACGACAGGAAAATTTTGATTGCCACCACTTGGATGTTCAATGAATGCCCAAAGCGATAACCCAGAAAACTCATCGGTTTTGGTGGTATACTTTCGAATTACCCAAATATCATAATGTTTACGTTGTGATATTAAAACATTTGCCATCCCTAATCAAAACATGCACGTTAAAGATGTACCTCACGCGAGATGACGAAATTCTCACACCCGCACTTTGCGCAAGGTGATATCAACTTCGCGTGAGGTAAATCATTCAGATAATTTTAATAATCAGTGGTAAAGGTTTAATAAATAAACTATGCCCTATTACCGTATTATCGTGAAATAACGCTCCGGGGCGTTATTTTGAGACACATCATTTTCAGAGAGTTAAAGACTAGGAAATGATGTGTCTCGAAATAACGCCCCGGGGTATTATTTCGCGACGATACGGTAAAATTTTATCACATGATTCGTATAAAATCGCGCGATGTAACCTTGAATATATGCTATGTTTATCTACGTCTCTAGTGCACTTATGAAGGAGTCTAACTACAACAAATGATCATACACTAAATACATTATATTATATATGCGTTTACAAAGGACTCATTCATATTCAGATTTCTTGACAATATTGTTGGGAATTGCGTCAGACCAGTTAATCAACTATGCAATTGAATTATTTTCTTAATAGCATCAAACAAAACAATTGCAGAGTATTGATTTATTTCATCGAAACCTTTTAACTTGGATCTACCCTGAAATCTCGAAAATTGGCCAGCATTATAACTAATGCTAGCTAACTTTGTCGGTATTACCGTATCGTCACGAAATAACGCCCCGGGGCGTTATTTCGAGACAAAAATTTTAAACTTTAATATTTATTTAATAGTAAAGTTTAAAAAAATCTTCGGCAAAATTAATTATTAACTCGTTTTAAAATTTTGTGCCTCGAAATAACGTCCCGGGGCGTTATTTCGCGATGATACAGTAAGTCTCTTTTGGGATTCCAAAAAAAGTATACAGCACCTGCATTTAGATTTCACACTTTGTAATTCTTATATTTCTCAATTCGTACTTTCGTACTTTACACTTAGCACGTTTTTCGGTTTTTAACACTATATCACCCGAAGTGCCTATAGAAGATAGAAATAACGCGGATATACAATAATATATCATAGCTGGATAGTTGCTGTGTTCGTTTTGTGATTCTGGCTATGGTTGAAGAAATCTGAAAGCACATTGGTGCCGCAACTTGTGAAATTGTTGTTAGGATTCTGCATGGATGCTTATTACGAACGCTCGTTTCTTCATCTTAATGGTTTTAGAAATAACTTTGGTTTATTATTTTGGTCAGTGTTCGAAGGAATGACTGGTTAAGGTAATTGATCCTTAATCTGGTCGGGTGAGCAAGACCTGTAATAACCTTTGTAGTGAAATGTGCTACAGCAACTGGAAGCCACAAATGATTGTGAACGTCCTTGTTCAATTTTTTGATTAATTTTTTTTTATTTTACTTTAGTTTTTAAAAAACTGGGGCACCTTACGAACAAGACCAAAAACACTTCGCAATAACATGAACTTCATACAATTTCATAATATTGACAACTAATTAATGGCCTCTCCGACAATACATTACAACCGTTACCCGATTTCAAAATTATGGAGTAACCTGGTTGACTAATTGGTTCTAGTTTGGTAGTATATAACACACCACACCGGCATAGCCAAACTCAGTATGGTTATGCTTCCCCGTTGGATATAATTTACAATCAATCTCATGATGGTTATAGTGTGTAGGTAAATGATATTCTACTTGAACTATCAAGTTCTGATTAGACAAAATAGACGATAATATTATATATTTTTTTCATATTTAATTCTACGAATCCATAGATTTAAAAAAAAATTTTTTTAGATGAGTAGGTATTAGATATCATCGCTCAAAGTTTAAAAAAAAAACCTAAATACGGTCTTTTTGATCTTTATTGAACTTTTAACAGATACTTCAATAACTAGTTACCCAAAATGAAAAAAAGTTAACTGCGGTCTTTATGAACTTTGAACGAGAATATTTCGATAACTACTTACCTAAAATTGATAAATTTTATGAATCCAGAAGTTAATTAAATAAAAAAAATTCACCGATTTTAGGTATGTAGTTATCAACCCAAAGTTTGAAGAAAACCGCTGTCCTTGTTTGATAATCACCTAAATTTTTATTGAAATTTGAACGAGGATATCTCGATATATACATATATGGAAATTTTTTATTTTTGTCTATCGATACATAGAATTAAAATAAAAAAAATCTTTTTCGAATTTGGGTAAGTAGTTATCGAGATATTCTCGTTCAAAGTTCAGTAAAAATTTAGGTGATTATCGAAATAAAGATCGTTTGTCTCGATATCTACCCACCTAAAACTTTTTTGTTTTAATTATATGGATTCGTAGAATCAAATAAAAAAATTCTAGCGATTTTATATAGGTATACTGAGATATTTTCGCTCAAAGTTCGAAAAAAGTATATAATATTTCGCCAAATTAGAATATGATAGTTCGAATTTCCTGGCAATATATACAAGTGGATACGTACGATTATATCGATATGGACGATGGACCTAACGCAAATGGTTACACGGGTTCAAATTCTGGTGCCTAATGTTAATGTTATGGTGGTTCAAATGAATTATTTATGGTACAAAACCCCCTTAACACTCGCAATTTCAATTCTCGTATAAATTTTATACATACACCATCTTTCTTTTGTATATAAAATTTTGAGTGTTGCTAACTTACACCGGTGGCGATATCACCTGCTTTTGTAGAAACGGCCTAGATAATTGTTGTATGTACTAACTGCTAAGTAAAATTATTCTAATCTTAATTCTAACCCTAAAATCTAATTCTAGTCGTAAAATTTAAAATTTTTTATATATAAGATTATATATAGAGGCGACATCACCCTAGGCGGAAAATTAGTCTTATTCTATAATTTTTTTTTTCTTTTGTAGTTCAATTTATAAAAAAGAGCATTCCTTGATTACCTTCCTCCTAATAATCATATAAAAGCCTTTCTTTGTAAATTTTTTCCGTTATTATTTTTTCTTTTCACTCAAACATTGTTATTATATAGTTGGAATTAGATTTTCTTGATATAGGATTTTAAGAGAGGTTTGTTCATCTAACGCAGATGTATTTTTTGTCTGCTTTTAATTCCATTAAATAAATTCTTTTGGCCCTAAAAATATTTAAATTTGAGCAGTTTCATATTTAAGTATATACCGTAGTAATATTTATTTTAACGTATCGGTATACTAAATTTGTTGAATTACAGTATTATAGTTTTTAATTGATGAATTTTGATTGGTTCTGTTTATTCCAAATTTAACAGTACTCGATCGAATCATCCAATCATTCATTGTAAACGAAGTTGCCCATTCATAAGCGCAGAAGTGTGCATAGATTAAACTCAGTTGTCAGTTTTAATTTTTGTGTAAATCTTAAATAGTAAATAGAATAGATCCTCGTACAAAGTAATACAACCGGAAATACGTAACTTTAATCTAAAACCCCTTCAATTTTAAAATAAAATAAACAAGTTTTTTTTTTTAATCTTTTACAAGTGCGTAAGTACGTACAGTACGTGCCTTACTAGTTTAACCACAAATTAATCTTTTTTATTTTTCCGCAAACTGCAATATATTGATTATTATATCTGCTTCTTTAATACTCAACGTTTCCTACTTTCAGAATGGCACACTTAACACTTTAAGTCGTCCCCAAAACAGTCTTCGTCTTTATTTATACTATATATCAAGCAATATTGTAGTTTCCGTTTATAACCTTTCTTGCTACAAGAATGGTGGTTTATATACAACTCAATTTCAAAATGTGTCAGCAATAACAATAGTTCGACATTTATGATACGTTGAAGTTTTTTTTATTCCATCGGCTATAATAACGATAGCTTCCACTTTTTCAAAAAAAACAAAAAAAAAAAAAAACTTTAAAATTCTCCTCAAATTAGATTCCTAACGAAAATATGGTGCCAACTCCCAAAATTACCAATAAAAAAATTATATCCAACATGGATCAGATCAAAACCATCGGCGATGATTCTAACAAGGCCAAAATCACGTCACCATCAATAAAATCGGTGGAAGTTAATGACACCGTTTTATTTGGCATAAAATCGGAAGAAATGAATGGCGCCATTTTATTCGACAAATGGTTGACCAATGATCTTAAGAGTTTCCTATCACAAAGTGATGATTTTTTATTAACACCCAAGATCACAGATCACGATGTTTCACCTCTTGTATCCTCTTCTATGAACACCTCTTCTTCAGCATTTAATAATATCATTGAATCTCATAAATCCGATTCTCCTTTCTTCACATCTGTTTCCACATCCGATTCTGTTAAAGGGTTTTTCCCTGATAACTCTTCAAAATCAATGAGACATGGTTTGACGTCAATCGTACCTGCGGTTACTATTCCTGCGGATGACCAACTTTCATTGCCCATTTGTCAACCAGATTATACATCTGCTTTGAATATTCCTTGGGAGCCCGATGCAATCAATACTCCAAATTTTCTTTCCGATAAATCCCCTTCACTTACTTCCGCTTTAACGGATAATAGAACCGATATCTCATCTAATAGCTTCGTTAAAACTAAGATACTTCCTAGAAACTCTACTAAGGTCACGGCAACTTCACCTGCAGCAAGTGCGCCCCCTACCTCTCCGTTAACCAAAACCACTGCTGATAATAGCCGTAAGCGTTCCGCTAATTGTGTTGAAAAGGATTCAAAAACCATCAACGAAGAATTGGCTATCAAACGCGCGAAAAATACTGATGCAGCTAGAAGAAGTCGTCTTCGTAAAGTTTTAAAAATGGAATCACTAGAGATGCAGGTAAACGAACTCAAAATTGAAAATAAAAAATTTCAAACTCGCGTTGCTGTTTTGGAAAGTGAAAAGAAGGGATTGAAAGAAAAGAATATTGAAAAAGATAATAGAATCAGATTGTTGGAAAAACAATTAGCCGAATCACATGAAAGGTTAATCAATATATCATAATAATTTTTTTTTAACAGTAAATGAGCATGTCTACTTACTAGTGGTGTTTTAAATAGTTAATTAGTAATAAATGAGTTGACATATTCAAGTTTATTTGTAAATTTATAAAAAAAAAATAATAATAAAAAAACACTTAAAGGATACATATAGACCTTTTTTTAAATTTAGATAAATGGTTGGCATTTAGCAACTAAGTAGTTTAGAACATCTTGACCCAAAATGACGTATTTTTAGTGTTTTTCCAGATGTAGGATGTTAAAAGTCGTCTAGTCCGAGTCAGCTCTAAAAGTCAATATCGATCCTGAAATTTGGTTCATGCATAATGATTAGAAATGTTAGATGATCCTTAAAATGTTCAATTTTGATCATGGGGTTTAATTAGATCGGGCTAATTTTAACTAGAAATAATTTTGGAAAACATATTCGTGTTACATATCCATGCTGAGCCGATTCATCAAAAGACAAATTCTAGTAAACTTTATTACAGTAATAATTCTATTTGGATGCCAAGTAATTAGCTAGTTATATGCAGAGCCAATTAAATCATTAAATTTTGTATAATTAAAACAAAATAAATAAAAAGGCCAAAAAACTTCAATAATATGTTTTTGAGATATAGCAACTGTGTTTTGAACACTATTGGTATAATTTAGTAAAATAGTAAAATTTTATTGAAAAAACTATATATTCAATTTTAAGCAAAAGCTTTTAATAATAAATTTTATATAGAGATTAGTTTTTTTACTCTAACTTTAATTTCTAATTTTAATAATATTTAAATTTTAACAAAAATTTTATAATATTAAATAATATTGTTATAGATGAAAATAAATTATAGGGGTGTGGCAACTTAGTGAAGTTGGTAAGTTGTCACACCTCCAAGCAGCAGGACAAGAGTTCGAATTCCATTGGTAATGAAATTCAAATTTATAGAATGTGTGATAGCAGACTATGTGATATATCGATCAGATCAGCATCTGTAACCTTGGTTATACCAGCTTGTGAAACAATAGTATGATATATGAGTTATACAAATTCTGAGTGAAGCAGCCAAATTAATCCAAGAGATTAGGGATATAGAAGTTTACTTGGGAGGTTCCAAGTAGAGAGGTAGCACAGATCTTTGACAGTGTTATATATAGGATTATCATCTAGGAAATCAGATATCAAAAGTAAACTGAATGAAAACCAAGTGTTTGGCAAAAGCACTATACCAACCAGGCTGCCATATATAATTGGAGGGAAAAGGATTCATTCAGAATACTAGAAGATGCTTACTGGTCTCTTCTAGACCATCTGGATTAGTAGTTTGAGGCACTGTTAGTTGACATCAAAGTATTGTTAATAGTTCATAAAGTGGATGTTGGAGTTTAAATAAACTTTACAAGAGCAGAAGTAGATAACAGTAGCAGCTTCAGCTTGCAAATACTTGTTCTCAGATTTGATATAAGTTACTGAAGTTTAGATTAGCCAGATTGTAAATATGAAAAACTTTAGCAATGATGCCTTAAGAATAAATTATTTGACTAACAAATATAATGGAGATATACTGATGATACAAGAGGGTTGCATTATAGAGAGTTTAAATAGATAATTCTTAGTTAGGTTATAGGTATAGTAAATAGTGTAGTCTCTACAGTATAGTATTAATATGCAGACTACTTAAATAACCAACCAAAAGTTGTATATATAATTAGTTGTACTCTCTAATATAAGAAGATTCATTGTGAGCCTCTATACTCAAATAACTTAAATAAAAACTTTAATTCCAAAGAGGCTAGTTAAAAAAATTTTAATTATAATCTATTATTAAAATTAATAAAAACTTTATTAAAAATTAATATTTATATACTATTATTAATTTTTTTGATAATTATGTTAGTATTTTTTTACTTTGACTGTTTTGCCAGTAATTCTTTATTGAAGTCATATTATTTTTTTTATAATTCAGCAATCCTGCCTCTGTTTATTTAAGATTAAGCTATTCAAGAATTATACATTTCTATCTATA